TTAACTTTTCAAATGTGCTTTTTACTTCACCTATCTACAATTCCCAATGTTTGTGTAGGGCGCGTTCGTATCAGGTCCTACATGATGTACCTAGACGCCTAAGGTTACTGGACCCTAGTTTGCTGTTGACTGTGAACATAATTTCTAGCCACAGCCATCCATCTATGCTTTATTTGTGAAGATGCTGATACACCCAACGCAGATATCCGCGCATCACTTTACACCTTGCAGCCCCACACGGCAGATAAAATGTCAACACATCGTGTTGCAGGTAATCGAAAAGATATACAGCACAATTATCCGTGGTGTTCCACGTAGTATTTCGTCTTAATGAAGAGTCTGCAGACATGTCTTCCATCATCAATCACAACTAATTCTAGGTTGACGTAGGGCCAGATTAGATTCAAAATTAATCTCCTGGGCTGCAGTCGGTGAAGCTAGTACAGAGTTCGGGTTTCTTGTGGTCCGCCCATTACAGTTAAATCCGATGTTAGGTCTGATTAGACAAACATCAAGACATAGAAGCATATGTTCGAATCATTGTAGATTAACTTAACTGAAATGATGCATCTTCAATCTAACAGAAAAATGAATATTTAGATATCTCTTACATGTGTTTATGATTTTGAACCATCAATACAGAGATGGAAATATGTCTTTAGTTTCACATTTGTGAACATAAAATAATATTGCAATTGATATTATGTCACATAACAGGTGACGATGTGCTGTGCTTTTCCCATTTTCACAAAAATCTGGTTCTTGTTTTATTGTTGTTGTTGTTCGTGTTGTTATCATTGTTGATAGAGCCCTCTAGATAAACATGATGCGTGTTATATTCAGAAGATATCGGTCCATCAGTTGCCATGTATTTTGGACTGTCAAATTTTGTACATGAAAGTTTAAAAGTTCAATAGCTAGTGGCATACGATACTTACTGCATGCATAGCATTAGGCTAAATGATGACTTGATATAGAAGACATATGCAGTAGCTGAAAAGAGCTTTGTTCCCTGAGAGTCCTGTTAAATGCTTGCATGACATAGATAGACTACGGATAACATTCAAGCTGAACAGACCCACGGGAGTGAACGAGCGGCAGACAATGTTGCGGGGTATTTATTACAAGTCTTTAGAAATATATCTAGATTCTTGAATGTACCTCGAGATCGTGCAGTCCGCTCGGGAGTTATCATTGTTAAAACACTCCTTCACCCGTGGTATCTTATCTGTTGATAAACTGTAACCCCCTCATACTTTGACAAGATCAGTTTTGTCAGATGAAAGACATCGAAACAGGTGTTAGCTCTCAATGCAGTTTAGAAGGAAGGACGTCGTTCATGATTGGAAATTGAACAAATTCTTATAGCTATTTCTTCATTTATTTGAAGTTGGTACGGACACTTAAATAAAATTTTAATCAAAATGTGTTCAAAATCACATTTCACAGAAATTCTGCTGATACATTATCACAACAAAGATCAAAACTGTACGTTAAATTATTATGTAAAGTTGAGTTAAAGTCGACTTATACTGAGTAGAGACGTCGGTGTTTTAAAGGCAGACACGCTTGTTGGAATGATTGCAATTACGATTGATTTATGATACTTGGAAAACCATGCCTCTGACAAAAACCAGGTAATTCATTACGTTACCAGACTCGCGGTTTTTTTGTTCACCGAAGGTCATCAAATAATCATAGCGGTGGATGAATGCTAGCCGTAACAACAAAGAATAATTAACAATTCTGGTGCAGCTATTGCGATCAAAGAGAACACAGAACATTCATAATCTCCAATCTGCTGTTTACGACAACCGAACACGAGTTCCAATACAGTTGTTGGCAGTTACCTAGCAACGGCTGCGCGTGACAGACACACTACAGTAGGCGTGCATTTGAGGATGAGCACCATTAGACCTAATGAAACTGCATCGTACAAGTATTGATTATAGCTTGTCTATAGGCGACGGTGCATGTTTCCAGTCTCGTGCATGCTGGATTGTGCATGTGTATAGATTATGCATTATGTTCGTTAATGTGACAGCTTTAATCTTTACGTTATTGGCCGAGGAATTATCAACACCAAATTTGTATTATGGTTTAAAGGCGGACTAGACTCCAAGGAAGCGGGATTCAAATTCAAAATCTACTGTTTATATTATGTAAACTGCAATTCTGTGGCCTACTTTTTTTCAATTTGTTCTCTAATTACGGACACATTGTGTCCCGGACTAACACAACTAGTAATGGCTACGAAACGGAGGCCAGCTTGAAAGAAAAGTGAAAGAAAATTGTACGATTAAGGAAATCTCACAGAAAACCTAACATGAGATCAATATATGTAACAACAGAGACACAAGGAGTCATTGCCATTCAATCACGTGATGTGTCCTTGTATCCTGATAACTGTTGTTGACACCTATAATGAGATGTTGTTTTCATGTATAATTTACTCTTTCGTCGCTTTCGAAAAAGAGAACTAATGACAGCACGCCATCCGCACATAAGATAGAACCTCACGAAAACAAAGGTTCACATTGAACTGATTTAGGCAGCACACATCCCTATGATGTCCTGTCATTCGTTATAAAGGAATAAATACAATAATTAAGAAATATCCAAGACAATATATAGCAATTATTACATGTCTCTTCAGTGTATGTTGTGACAAATGTCTGTGTCGGTTACACCTATATAATATCATCTAAAGATTACCCTGAAATCCTCAGTGGTTCTTTAGTTCAGCCAAAATCAATGCAAACATCAACTGGTGCATTCAATCAGGACCACGCTATCTCATTCCGGCACATTATCCAATCATTTGTGTAACTAATTAGGGTGGATCTATAGCACTTAGTCCGGAGACAGTTAGTTCGGAGTGGCAGGTGGATCGAAGCATTAGCTTGACTTATGCCTCTTTGTGCTTCATGCAGCGTTATTTATGATGGTGCGTATATTCCCTTTGACTGATTGTGACAGTAACGGTTTCGGCGGAATGCACTAAATCAACGGTATTGCAATGTTGTTGACATCATGTATATCGCTACAGTGTCCCGGGGTTAACTGTGCCATTGTTTTGTTGTTAAACATTTCAACCCATCATGAGCAAAACAAGAAATATTTTGTTTGTGACTCATTTTGTTGTACAAATTGTCAGTGTCAAGATCGGGTGCCTTCGGTAGAGCAACATATGCTTGCTTTTTTGTGAACACCTGGTGTCATCAGTGGTTTTGGTTGATATACTGAACAGCAAAAGAAACGCAAGCTTAAAAAAATGAAATCTCATAAAAGTAAGCTTTCATGTTGATGGAACGTTCATGGTAAAGTGACAAAAAAGCCAGGCTTGCGTTTCTTTTGCTGTTCAGTATACATTAATGTAACTGACACCATTGTGTTGCCTTTCACGCCTAAAGGAATGTGTTTCTCCAGACAAGATATTATCTGACGTGGACGTTGCATATTACTTCGGTGTCCCTCGGTAATGTGGATATGTCACAGCCATGTTGCATGCTTCTGCGAGTTACCTCCCTCCTAGGTTCACAATCATGTGTATTCAAAGTCGATGGCAGGCCACTTTGCTAATATGATCCAAAACGTTTATGAATTAAATGCTAAATAGTTTGTTGACAGCAAAATTCAGCAATAACTAACCACTGCATTTTTCACAAACGCATATAGGTACATATTCTGACATTTTCATTGAACCTGTCAGATTTGTATATTAGGGAAATGATCGTGAACCTAACCGATTCTATTGCACTTACACTAAGTAGATTTAACTCTGCAGCTGTCTCCCACACGTGTCGTAACGTCTTGTCTTGTCTCAGAGCTACAACCGCTCTATGGAAATACTCATATGTAAGGCACTGTTACCGTGAAGAAGTTGTATCAATGTGTATATTCCGATATTCGAGCTGTACATCTTGGTTGTTACCCGTGGATCATAGCAAGAGCAACTTAAGTTTGACTCGATCTGTAGTTTTACAAAGTGGCTTAAGTGTTACGTGATTGAAGAGGCGATGCAGCTGTTTAAGTTACATATTGATTAACCTGATTCCTTTGTACAGTATGGAGATTTACGTTAAAACTGTACCTTTGTTAAGAAGATACGAATTAAGAAAACGGTGTATATATGTAGTTTCATGATAGTGTATAAGACTCATGTCCATATCGAAGTATTATTTTAATCTTTCAAAATTCAGGCTTGAATATTTTTTTTAAATGTATAAATATGTAGACTGCCTAAGACTGACAATTTAATACCAAACATACATCAGACCACTGCTGTTATGTCATATTCAATGTGTGTTATATAATTTGGAAATATAGAGATACACATTACAATACTTTTGAAATGTATGACTTATGTAATGAGATATATCTAGAGATGTAAAATTGCACTTCTCCTTTCATCTAGCTCGCCTTTATTTGTACATTAGCGGTAAAAGGTAATTAAAGACAGGATTAAATATAGCTATTGATGGAACCAAATACCAAAACACATCTTACTAGTGTCAACATTTATATGGGGTTTGCCGGAATAAAACTCAATCAACCAGTACAAGTACAAGCTATAAAAATTGTAATGTAGTCAAGTTCTGGGCCCCTTAAGAAACACGCTAGAAAGTTGAGAGAGTGTCGGGTCATAAATCTCTTCAAATGAAGCTTAGGTGAAGATTGTCGCTACGCACAGTGGTAAATTACCCATGTCAAAGTGACCCGCAATCAACAAGTTAACTGAAGACGCTAAACTTCACAATAGTCTGTGGAGAAAGCTGATGCAAGAAAAAAGGGAGTCTGCATTATTTCTAGGTGACTCGCTGCGCGGACGTAACACCTCATTCAGGAGCGTGTCACCCTTGACCTAGAATCGAGACGTCACGGCGAGGCGAGCGTTCTGATTGGTTGTAACAAGTGACTGACAGGTTGAAATGTACATTGTGTGTACGCAAACATGGCTGACGAAGTAAACAGTTGTGCCTCTTTCCGATTATTTCCAGGTAAAGTTTTGAAGGAACGTGAGCGACAAGGAATGTGGATACCTTCCTCTCACCGCACATGAGTCCGTGCGTACGTCAGTCCGTCCATAATGCAGAAATGTGTCCCGAAAAGTTGGGAATACCTTGCTGGGCTGCTGCTCATCCTGTCGTCTGCTCGTGTTGCCGGTAAGTTTGAACATATTTTCATTCTTCTTCCCTGTCGACAAGCAATTGTGGCATCAATAATAAACAGTCATTGTATTCGTATAACACGCTGCCAGATTCAAACCCTACTTTGTGTCCTTCTGTGAACTTGTTTCCTTTGTTGCCTTATGTACAGCTGTGCAGATGTTTTTATGCCGCTTTGTACATTGTGTTGCGTTCTGAGTCACACTCCCTATTGATTTTTTAAAATCCTTGACGCGAAAGATATCACAAGGCTTAATCTTTTAAGCACTGCGAAGTATTACGTAATGTTGTAACAAAGTCGTATTTTCCATTGACATTGAGTAAAGATTAATCTTATGTGGCAAGTGGTAGTTGGAAGTGATCGAAGAAACCTTAATGACAAATATTTGTGTCAGTTCTAATCGTAATTATAATATGATACAAGTGATGCTACTGTTCGACGTACACTATGGTTTTATACTTACATTATTACAATGCACGTGTGACGGCGTCCATTCACATGAGGCCGTAGTTGCAGTGGTGAGTGAGTGAGTGAGTGTGTGTGTGTGTGTGTGGTGTCTTATGTTATGTCTCACTAGTCGATGCTAGGAGGAAATGGAGACCGTTATGCAAACAATATCTCCTAAAGTTTTAGCTCGCATCTGACACTGATGACCTCAGGGAAATCTCCCAAATCCGTGCACCTTTGAAATCGGCTCAACATAAACGCGTCTCTACGCATTCGCAGTGCATGCGAGTTGTAGAACTTGTCACAGAGAGATATGTGTTGAACTGAACAACGCGTATCGCCATGGAAGACATATTGAACAGATAAATTTACAATACTGTCTTTACAGTTAGAACCGTCTGTCAACAGCAAACACTGAGCCTAGGACACGAAGTGATGTTTGCTAACCCGAGCGACACACGTTAATCACCAGCACAGAGTCAAATTTCAGCTAAATTCCTAGCTACAAGTTCTGGATAGCTGAATGGTTACTATTATTTCCCATGTCACTTTGTTGAGCTGAACCTAACAGCTACAGAGCACACTATGCAACAAGGCTTTGTTGGTGAGAGTTCATTGTAAAGTCTGCATTCAAATATAGGGTTCTACCATTTACACACGAACTTAAGAATTAATTTGCACTCGCGTAAAGGGTGAAACGATGGCATTTTGGCAATTTTGTCCAGCATTTGATGTGATCTTTGATTAGTTGGCAGCTGCGTGTAATCCTTCGCATTAGCAGTAATCCGCGGTCCATACTGGTTTAGCTGCATCATTTCTTTGGGGTCTTAGAGGACGCGAACACAAGATATTATAATTACTCTTGTGATATGAACGTTTACTCATTAAATACACCCAGCCTTCACAAAGCAGATGACGGTATTTCAATATCAATTTGGTGTTGTTATGTAAAACATGTACAATAGCCCGAAGTTACGATACCTTAGATATAATACAAGACAAATCTTATGGATGACAACTTCTTATTTGCTTACCACGAAGTGATCTTTGATTAATAATGATCAATTTTTACCTTAGATATGGACATGTATGTAAGGTTCCACCTATTTCTATATAGAAAGCGTAGGAAAGTAAGAAATATGACTTTTCCACCTTGTTGTTCTGTAGCCTCTCATAGTTACCGTTGTCAGCATATCGAGCCAAGAATCGAAAAAAATCATGCTATACTAGTAAATCGACATGTGTACACGGTGTTTGAGTTTGGTATTTTTTCTGTTTCCTCAATTAATCTTATCTAATCCCTTCGCAGACATCTATGGTGTTTAATTTTTTGGTTTTGGGTTGACTCTATTATTTACAGTTGTGACTTGGGTGTTTCCTCTCACCGTCACATGGTACAAAGATTTATGTCAGTCTCACAGCAGGTTTGGCATTGTTAAATAGGACGCTTTCGGTAGCTTTATTTGCAGCAGTAGGCAGAAACACGAGGCGCAGCGTGGTATAATTGACCTCATTCCGATACAACGTCAGAGATACATCTGAACATTCACTCATGTATGTTATATTATGAAATTATTACCTTCTGCAAATACTAACTGCTATGTGAAAACAATGCTGGTTATATCAGTCGTGTTTCAGGATGTCTGCTTGTCAGATTATTAGAACAAGAAATGACGTGATATTATAAGAAAGGCATTGGAGACACTTCTGAATAAACTTTTAGCAGCCAAACTACAATGCATCCGATCTTTGTTGACGGTATAAACGCACCATTAAGTCATCGTTGTGGTACACGCCTTTAATATTTAGCAAATAATAACACTTAATAACGTCATATGTTTTAACCTTCTCTAATATGTAAAATGTCAGATCTAAAGATAGATTACATGGTGCAGATTGAACATTATCATTGATATATATTGATGAGATGTCTGTTAAATAGGAACTGCTTAGCCGTATGATCGATTGTATTATCAAAATGAGGCGATCGTTTTGCAGTACCCATGGCAATTACAGTCACCCCTTCTGTGTAACTTAAGCCAGAGACTCCAGCTGGTTCGCTCGTCGATGTAAGAAACATGTGTTTGATTAACACAGGTAATATAGCCTATCGATCTCTTCATTCGTGTTATTACAAAATGTGTGATCTCGGTACATGCCATATTTCACGACTGGGACTGTCAATGCACTGAGCGACACTGTAACTTCATGCTTTGTTCAAACAGCATATGACTGAATGATAGCTGGTTGTTGTCTCGTTGCATAATATTCATGTCAATAGCGCTGTGTACGCACTGGTACCAGGCGTGCTATAAAGCCAGTGTTACTTGATAGCTTGTCAGTTGCACATGCTCAGGTTGGAGGTAGCATGTGATCGGAGGTTATTTCACGAGTAAAAGGTTGATTTCAATATCACGTGAGAACATAAAGCAAGATTTGTTTGACAGGGAAACAATAGCCTATAGCTTATGGAACGCGAAGCAAGGCCATTTATATTTTATCGGTCAAATGTTAATTACATAAGGTAACTGTGAGTTTTGCTGACTGGATGAAAATAAATGCTTACGATAGCTTAAATTGAATTGACCTCGAACTCAAATTAAAACAACGATAACGGGAATGTAAAAAGACTTCCATTTTTCTTCTTTTTTAATTTCTTTTTCATAGTTACGACATTTCAGTACCGTAGTTTTAAATTGAAATTATACAGTTTATAGATATTTGTATGGTGTCTGGAGATCGAGGTGTGTAGGTGATGACATACCAGAAAGCGCTTCAACTGCTATATACTAGTAGTGGGACACATGGTTGTGACATCGTTCTGACACTTTCAACTAAAACATCAGCTGACGAGGAAACACCTGTCACAGCCATATAAATAACAAAGGTAATATATGACAGGAATCTGATAGCACTCGATTCAAAATGTTAGCGTGTACCAGGTGTGCTAGTGTAGAATATTTTACTAGAATATATTTAATCTTACTTACTACGTATACATTCATACAAATATAGCCCGTGGAATGAAATGACCGTCTGTTGACATGAATATGAGTTGAACTGTTTTGTTTTCCGTAATCTACGCATTGTGATTAGGGTAGGGCCATTGTTCAGAGTTTGTTCAGGAATAATGCAGGACATGTTTCACTCCACATAGTAATATGCTGTCACAATAGAAAACCTCAAGAATCAAGATTAACATTCCTTATATGATTTATGATCAGGCATAATTATTGCACGAAGGACCATGCTCTTCTACAGACTAAATGTAATCCCATGCACCCTACAATATAACACTACACTCTCTTACATGCCACCATGGCAAATTCTGAAAAAACACACGTGCTAATATATTGCATTTGTCAGTTAAAAATATATAATGTGTGCAAAACCCTTAATGCGTGACTGTTATTTATAAGGAGGTAAAAGAAAAGAATGGAGCACTGAGCATGGTTATATATTCTTGCCAGTAGAGTAAATCCCAGTGTGCTCTGTAATCTATCGGCGATGTGTATGTATGGGAACACTCAACACAACCTGGAGATATTGTTAAAAAATATGAAGTAAGCAAATTTTGCTACTTTCATATTGGTTCGTTGATTATTTCTAGCGAAGATTATATCTACGTTATGTGACGTACATATATAACATACCATTTACCACCAAAGGTCGATGGTACTTACTTATTTCAAGATTAACCTAATCAAGCCACACACCCACCATGCCCCCTTCTGTCCCTTGACCCCCCTCCCTCTCTACCCTTCCCCGGGGTATTGAATCAGTCCTGGACTACCTTCCTGGACTACCTGTGCATACTACCTGTGATTTTAACGCTAGGGTGACAACGGTGGGACATCGGAATCCCGAGGCTGGGATTAGAGGGAGTCAGACGCCCAGACAATCGCGTCTTACCGTTGTATTTGGTCATGGTTATTGACTTAATGTGTGTCAGGCACTCTTCCCTATGGGTGTCCTGCACTGAAACTTCACTGTTCGAATATAATACATTGAATATATAAGATTGAAGATGGTGAGATGCATATATATGATCTATACATATACGTGTACATATTTACAGTTTACGAAAATACCTAACACTCCAAGGTAACATTACGACACATTTGGACAATACTTTTACTGCAGAGCGGGTTACGACTAGGGATTTAATGATTTGAAACAACTTTCGTGTGTAATATTTGTAAGAAAATCTACTTTACAATTAGCTGTTTCTTTGAGTTATTCCAGTATGTGATTTTCCTCGGAATATACTGCTCCAATACACAGATCATCATAACAAGATTGGACGCTTTGACCCCAAATACTGTATGAAATAAGAAATCTAATCCAGGTATGAATTCACCAAGGAATGTTTTAATGGAACCCCTCCAAATATTCCAATTCTCCAAGCCCAGGTTCAGTACTCTGCAAGACCCAGAGGTTGTAATACAAATACACAAACACAATCTGACCCCTTGAACAGCCTCATACAAAACACAACACAAACTCATTCCAAACCAACCTTGATGTCCTTTTAATTCAGTCTGAGTAA